AATTTATATTTATTTACATTTTATAATATTGTTCATGTTCTTAACGCTTCATTATTAAAGCCATATTATCTTTTGAAGTATGTTAAAGAAAATTTATTGAAAATTTATACAAAAATACCTGACGAGGCTCCTTATAGCTTCGGTAAAAATCAAATTATGAATTATGAATATTTTTGTTTGAAAACTTCTGCACTTTGGAAGACAATCCCATAAGTTGTAAGCCAAAATACTCACGCCATAATATAGTCATTGACAATACATTTAATTTTTAGTTTTACTACGACAATATTTTACAATACTCAGTAAGCGAATTAATCCGCACTGAAAACACACTTGAACAAGCTTGAGTGACAATAAAACGAAAGCCCAAACATGATGCTCCTCAACAATTAACACAAGAGTATGAGAATTTCCGCAGCTACTGAAAACTATGATTTCTACACATCAATCCGAAATACCCCTAAGTTCTTCAAAGATATTCAAAAGTATCAATCAACTACGATATAATTACCACTGGCGCTGCCATTATTTGTTACGTCAGACTCTTCATCTTGTTGACATGGGCAATATTGTTTCAATCCGATTTATACACGATCTCTTTAAACAATAACTTTTAAGTCAATCAACAGTTTTATAAAATTGCAAATCAATATAAAACAACGTTCCATCGGAATATAAAAATTTTTTCTTATTATACGCAAAAGGGTATACAAAAAATTTTGTTTATTTTTTAAAGGGGTATTATAAACCAGCGTCAAACCTAACGAACGGTTGTGTGAAAACATAAAAACTTCACTATTATTTTCTCTATGGCACTTAAAGCACTTAAAGAGTCATAACAACATACCACAATTTCAGTACAAACACTTAGTTAAACCGAAGAATTTGTAAAAACATAATTTGTTTGTTGTTCAATGAGTCTGTCTAAAATTTTGTGGTGTGTAAGCTACGAAAATTGCTCAAACCTTCAAAAGCGCACCAGGGCTTTTTAATACACATTCCAATGTTCCTAATACATGTATGATGCTATAAAAATAATTTCCTTAATACACTCCATTTCTTCTTCAGTTTTGTTTGTTCATTTTCGTCATTTTAACTGCAACATTAGCAATGAATGTTATATACGAAAAACTATATAAAATAACGCTATATATACATATCCATGCTTTTCAATTTTGTTTTCTTTGTGATATAGATCAATAACATTAACATTTTATATGCCCCAGCACTTCTTATGTAATTAGCATTGACATTGCTTACTGCTAAATTTGAATTATTTATCTGGGTGACGAAAATCGTTTTTTACCTTTTTATTCGGAAGACTACTCCAATTTCTAATATTTCACTAACTTTCAACTATTTATTTTAAGTTAATGTTACCCAAGTTTTGTACTCTACTGAAAATATTTTAATTAAAAAATATGATTAATCCGCATTCCCAATAGTATTGGCATATATATTTTAATTTGAGTAGTCTTTCATACAAAAACTAATATATATTGCTAACGAAGAAATTGATATACATGATATACACATATAGCACATGTTCTCGTCTCTTAAGTTCCACATATCTACTGTCTTCTATTACCCACTTAAGTCTAATCACACTGACTTATCAACAAATTCTCGTATGTTCACTTCGATGTATTCATAACTGAAATGCTGAATACATATTCATATCATATCTTCGCACAGCATTGAAAGCCCCACTTCGATATAATCATATATATATCATATCATACTTAACTGGAATACTGGATAATTATTTGCAAAATTATATATAAATTTTATATATTTTAATTACATTTACGAAAAAACATTTCTATTTATATTTATTTTTTGGAATCGCCTTTAATCATATACATGATGGATTTCTAATATTCACATAAAACAGATATACAATTTTAGTCCACAATTTTATGGCTAAATAAAAAAGTATAACATATATTTTGTAGAACTGATGGAAAGTATAAATGGCAAGACAACTGATAGACCATCAGATTATCAATTATGGACTCTAACTTCATATCATCTACTTATGGTCATAGTATCTACAAAGAAATACTACACACGCATGATGAAAACGACTGCTTCGGAACAATTATAATCAAATGCAACGTAATATTCGGTATATATGTAATATTTATATTACATGACCAAAGCCAGAAGCCAACAAACAAACACATCTTAAAAATATACAAAATATAAATAAGCCTAGACTAACTTTTTCTTAAAAGATGAGGAGAATGCAAGAATTTTCGCTCAGCAAAATGAGTTTTAAAGTACTTCAAATGGTCAAACCTTCTGATATTAATCGAAACTATTAATTGAATATTCGATTTTAATAAAATATATACATCAAAAATGTAAAAAATTTAATAATTTTCATAATACATTTCAATGCCCATGTCAAAAATTTGAACACATATTGGCCGTTACTGACAACAAAAACAAATGTACTCTCGTACTCCCTTTTGAATTTTTTCACAGTCAAATCTATTGACGTAACTGTTATTTTTTGTTAAACGTTTTGGTATTTTTTAATTGACATACACCTGTTAATTCTACTTTTGAAACGGAACATCAAGAATTCCCTGAATATATATATCATGAATATATAATTTCATACTAAAATATTAAAAAACAAGTAAGAAAGCTCCAGTCGAGACTGCTCGACTAGGAGATACCCTGAACCCTCCAAGCTGATATTCTCTTCATTCTGCACTTCTTT